TCTGGTTGCGAGCTTCCCTGCAGCCCCGTGCTTCCCTGAAGCCTCGTGCTGACCGAACCTGACAAAGAAAAGCTACCTGTAAAAATAATTATTACAAGGATCATTCCTCCCCCCACCTTTCTGAGCTCAGGTTTTTAGGGACGTTAAAAGTAACCATCTCTTCAGTTTTACATGCAGATGATTCCAGGTTCATCTGCAGATTATCAGCCTGGAGAGCCACTCCCAGTCAGTACTAAACTAAAAAGACCAATGGACTTCATTGGAATAAGTCAGTTTGCTCTATTGCATCCAAAACAGATGCTGGTGTAGTTGTGATGAAATATGTGTTGTGTGCTCCTATATATAAGTGGTGTTGGCATGCTCCAAACTGGCGGAGGTTTCTTACTCTTCAAAAAGGTATGAGGGCAGTACTGGCATTAGGGAGATGGGGTGATAACATATTGCAAAGACAGTCAATCCGATATCCTAATCTGAAACCATGTAGGGCCTGTGTGGCCAACCCAAAACCTGCTGAGTGCAGGAAGCCTTCAATATATTCAGCAGAAGTTCAAGACCTCTGCCACAACATAATTTCACTGCCACCTGTCAGTTCTCCTGCAAATCATCCTCCTATAAAGCTTATGGCTAAACTACTTGGTAGGTATGTGTGAGCCCAATTATGATGGGAAGATGGTGTCAAAGGAAGGGTCGCCCTGCACAACATTCTTTTATGGAAAATTGTGTTCCTGGTACTCTGTTCCCTGTATAGCTGGCTTAGAATCATAGAGTTGGAAAAGACCATTTAGGTCATTGAGTCTAACTTTCTGTTCAGTGAAAGAACCCAGTTAAAGTATCCCCATGAAATTATTGCTTCTCCCCCAGTTGAATTGATTACCTCTCTGGTTAATTGGTTCCAATGTTGAATTGCTCTTATTGTTAAGAACTTGTTCTAACATACATTTGGAATAATTTTTCCTATAATTTAAATCAGTTATTATATGTCCTGTACCCTGGATCAATAGAGAACAAGTCTTGATCTTCTTCTGTAATACCTTTTCAGGTATATGAAGGTGTTTTCATATCCCTTCTCTTTTCTTCTCAAGATGAAACATTCCCAGTTCCTTCCATCTCTCTTGATAGGGCTTAGTTTCTATGCCTAATAATCTGTATTGCCATTTTCTGAATCTGTTCCAGTTTCTCTTAATTCTTCTTAAAGTATAATTCCGAGAACTGCACACCAATTTGTTGTAGAGTCTGGCCCAAGTAGATCAAAATTGAGCAACTTTTAGATTTGGAAATTCTGCTTCTATTGGTGCAGCCTGAAATTACATTGTGCATCAATAACTTTGTATTTATCTCTGTTAAATTATGTCATGTTATTTTTAGCCAATACCTTTAACTTATAAAGATAATTTTGAATCTTATTTCTATGGTATTAACTATCCATACACTTTTGGACCATCTGCAGATTTGATAAGCATTCCTTCTACCTCTTCATCCAAGTGCTCAAAATATGATTAATTAATTAAAAAGAGGTCAGGATAGGTTCTTGTGGCACTACACTTGCAACCACACTCCAGTTTGATGTTGAACCAGTAATAAGTATTCTTGAATTGTTTTGATCAGATATATGGACACTTAATTGTCATGTCTTCTAGCTTGCTAATCAGAATGTTGTGGAGTTCTTTGCTGAAATCAAATTATTGCAAAGATAGCATTTCCATAGTAGTTGATCAAAA